TTCCTATTAAAAACTCTTTAATTTCTTGGACCATTTTTCATCTGTTTCTATTGGCACTTTTTTGCGATATTAATAGCATTGGTAATTGGTAGTCACTGATTGGTAATCATTGATTTAATCAAAATTGTAGGGGTTTCAATATATCGGTTATGATCAACTTCATGAACTCTGAAATTCATCTATAACCCTGTTAGTAAATACATTTTCTAGTCTTTATTGATTCATAATTATCATTCTGATAGTGTTTTCTATTACATGGTCACTGATTGCCTTCATTTTTTGGGATTTTGATAAAATAATAAGCATTGGACTTAGACAGGGCCGCAAAAAATGCGAGCGCACGCATTAGGGGGCGCTAAAACGAGATTTGGATATGAAATTAATAATATAGTTTTTTTTTATATCATTAAAAAAAATATAATTTCTTTGCATCTTTTACTAATCTTGGACAATATTTTTTAAATTTAACTTTAAAACAACAAACAAGGAGAAGTTTACGGTGTAATTTTAGATATTTTAAATACTGAAAAATTAAATTAAAATAATCCAACATGAAGAACTAGTGTTATATTTAATAATGACAGATCAGATCTTTTTTGCTTTGTATGATTTGGTCAATAAAATAAATCGCATAAAATCCCCTAAATAAATAAGTAAAATGTTTCAAAACCCAAATATTAATTTTACACATACATTAGAAATAAATAAAAATTTAAAAATATTCTTGCAAACAATAATAAACATACTGAAATTTTTGGATGTCCAAAAAAGTTTAGATTGAAAATAAGAATTTAAAAATAGTTTGGAAGTACGACAGCGATAGAAGGCACTACAATTTGATTTTGAGCACCCGCAAATCGCCTTGATGATAATCTTATAAATAAGAATCATTATATTTTATGCAATTATATCAAATTATTTGTGTCTAAATCCAGATTTATCAAAAATTATTTAAAAACAATAATTTTGATGATAAACTGTTCAAATAGTTAATAATTGTAAGGGGGGGGGGGCGCTAAGATACTTGAGAAATATGTGAATTCGTAAAGAGAATACAGGAAAATCAAAAGATAGTTTGTTAAACATTTGACGGTAATCTTTCATATTGTTACAAAGTTTTTATAGAAAAAAAATTCTGCAAATAAAATAACGTGTGGCAAAAGAAATATGTTTAAGTAATTCGATAGACAAATGTGGTCAATACCACGCTATTACCAAATTTTGTAAGTTCTCAAATAGAGATATTTAAAAAAAAAATTGTTGATCTTTTTTCTGTATAGAGAGCTTTTGAATTATTTTAATGCATTTGTCAATGTCTTTAAAATAATAAACAAGACCAAGTCGATATAAATTATCCTTGATACGATGCATTATACTATGTTAATTTCAAACTGAATATCAATTGACTTGAAATTCGAATTTCAGATTAGAGTAAAAGATTCTATTTTTGCTACCTTTTTAAACAAATTGTTTTATTAACATTTCTTAGACAAATGACGCATATTAGCGGAACTCGTAGGTTTTTCTGCACATATGCATTTTCTTGTCTTTTGTAAGATTCAATAATCATTAAATCGCGTCACGTTGAATACTTTGTCATGTAACATATGTGACTGCGTGGTAATAAAAATTCATATATGTTACTTCTAATGACAATAGTTGGTAAACAAGTATGAATAATAATGTTTGAGCAAATTTATTCAATCAATAGAATAGAGAGGCTTCATTATTTTCGAAAGAAAATAATGAAGCCTCTCTATTCTATTGATCAATTACTAAGAGTTTCTTCTGTGACTGCTCTGTGCAAATACTTATTTCCTAAAATACAAGTATTTTTTATGGAATCATAAATACTTGTAATATGTGTTACAATTCAAAAGAATTCAATAACTAGCACATTGTAGTATAAAAAGCAAATATATTTAATTTGCACATTTAAAATCTATCAAGAATATAAAATGCTCAATGATACAGAAATTGTTGAATGGTATATAATTTTCACAAAAGCTCATTATAATTAGTTTCCTTAGCTGCAAAATATACTTTGGGCCAATTAATAGACTTTTTCAATAATTAAAATAATAGTTCAATCTTCAAACATAAAATTTTCCCAATATTAATTGTTTATTATGCTCTTACTTATAATGGGCTTTTGTGTAATTGTGTATTTCGTATGTATATTTTGAAAACATAAAATAATTTCACTTTAATGCATTTATAATAGCACATTGTCTTTTAAGAAAATTATTTCATTTCATAACTAGAACTCTTGTTCGTCATGGCTTAATCAACTTTTCGCGTCATGTCCTCTCGTAATAAGGGATTTGGTGTAACTCGAACAATTTGCAATTGTAAATGACAGATTTTTTAAAAATAAAATATAATAAAAATAATACTGCAAATGCCTATACTTTAGTAGATTGTATGAATAACTACACGATTTAGCAAAGATGCTAAAAATAATCGCTTCAATTGAAAAAATTGTTACAGATTTTGCAAGCCATGCAAAATAAAAACGAAGTGAATAAAATTATATTTAAAAAATATATATCACAGTTATACGCATTAATTAAATTTTGACAAACGTCAAAAAATTAACGAAAACATCTATATTCAATTTACTATAATTTAAATTAATAAAACAAGATTCTACAACTTTTTTTGTCAACATTTTTTACTCTATATAGATTGTTAGAATGATTCACATTGAAGATTTTGTTTAAATTATAATCCCATTTGTATTTCACAAAACATATTATAGTTATATAACTAGACTATGAACAATTATACTTTTTAGCAAATATGATAAAATTAAATGCTTCAATTAAAAAATTGCTACTGATTTTACAAGTCATGCAAAATAAAATGAAGCGAATAAAATTACATTAAAAAAATAGATCAGAGTTATACACATTATTCAAAATTTTGATAACCGCCAAAAAATAAACCAAAACATCTATCTCCAGATTTACTATAATTTACATTAATAGAACAAGATTCTGCAATTTTTTTAAGCCAACGTTTCTCGCTGAATGTTAGGATGATTTGCATTAAAGATTTTGTTTAAATTAATCTCTTTTTTATTTCACAAAACGTAATATATTTTCTATGAATAATTAAACTTTCTAGCAAAAATGATAAAATTAATCGTTTCAATTAGAAAATTGCTAATGATTTTGCAATTTAAAAAAATAGATCAGAGTTATGCATATTAACTGAATTTTGCAATAAAGGATGATTTGCATTAGAGAATTTGTTTAAATTAATCTCTTTTGTATTTCACAAAACGTAATATACGTTCAATGAATAATTAAACTTTTTAGCAAAAATGATAAAATTAAATGCTTCAATTAAAAAATTGCTACTGATATTGCAAGTCATGCAAAATAAAATAAATGGAACAAATTAAATTAAAAAAATAGATTAGAGTTATGCATTTAAATTAAATATTGATGTCTGTCAAGAAGTGAAGAAAAAACATTTATGAATACATCAATATTTTAAATAAATAAAACAAGATTATGCAAATTTTCTCATGTCAACGTTTTTGGTTTAGATTGAAGATTTTGTTCCAAATGATCTTTTATATTTTTGCAATTTAAAACTTGCAATAAATAGTATCAATCAAGCATTGGTTCGCTCTATTCTTGTAAAAAATTACTAGCAATTAGTGAAATTTTAGCTGTTTTTATAATTTTTAGAAAATTTTACTAGACTTTTCCTGTATGCTAGCCGTCTTTCTATGGTAAAAATGCCAACAATTTTGGTTTAAATTAAAGAATTTGTTTCAAATAATCATTTATATTTTACAAAATTTAATGGACAAACGTTCATTTATAATTGTAATTTAAAGCTTGCGATAAATAGTATCAATCAAGCATTGGTGGACTTTATTCTTGTAAAAATTTACTAACAATTAGTAGAATTTTCACTGTTTTTATAATTTTTAGGAAATTTCACTAGACTTTTCGTGTATGCTAGTCATTTTTCTATGGTGGCAATGCCAACAATTTTGACTTAGATCAAAAAAAATTGTTTCAAATAATCATTTATATTTGACAAAATTTAATAGACAAATGTTTATTTATAATTGCATTAACAAAATAGTAATATTCTTCCTGATTTTATAATTACAAAATTTTACTAGACTTTTCATGTATACTAGCCCGCTTTCTATGGGCACGATGTCGTAATAAATTTCGCCAAATTTATGTATTGTCTTAGAAGACATCGCCGGAATTTCAATTAGCAGTATGACTTATTTCAATTATGACAATGTGGAATGCTCAACTGAATTTGGGTAATTTATTGTTGTAGAATACGAGCAACAGTTATTTTTTTGTGAGACCTCTATTTCATGTTTTGCTTTCAAACTGGCAAATTAGCCAAATAAATAGTCTAACAACTGGAGACGTATTGACGAAAAGATACTAGTTAAGACACAAATATTGGGTAAAAGAAACAATTAGAATTCTTATTTGAAAAAATCAAATATGTGATTGCTTTTTTTGGAAATTTAAAAACAATATTTGAAAATAATTCTTTCAATTATTTTACTTTCAAATTTACATATTCTGCTTTAGAATTCAAATTAGCATGCTATTTTAGATAATTAATTAATATAGAATATTATTTAAAATGAATATTAAAAAAATAATTAAAAATTCAAGTATAATAGTTAATATTTGTTTTTTGATGGCATATAATTTAGATAAAACAAAAAAAATAAAAATATTCATATCAATATTAGTAGTAATTCGAGAAAAATTCGATATACAATATGAGAAAACTCTTTAAAATGAAACAGTTCTTAATATGAATAATAGAGTTATTCAATAATAGATTGAAGACATTTGCTATTTAACATATACTCTTATAAAGGCTTAAATAAATATATATTTATGGATGCTTTAAATTAATATTAGACTGAACTATATATTATATTTCTATTACAACTAAAATATTATATTTCTACTAAAAATTGAATTAAAATAACTTACCCTGCAGAATACGCCGTTGCCAGGCAGGCACATATTAAAATTATCCTCACAATCATCATCTGTAATAAAAAATACTAAATAAATATTTATTTAATAAATTTTGCAATATTTTAGATACACAGTTTGCAAAAAAAGCGACTCTATCAATATTTATTCATAAATAACCAATATTTATCAAGAGACCACATATGATAATATTAAATTATGATTCATTGCATATTTCAAATAAACCAATATGGAAATGAAAATATATTATGGATAATTGTCATTAATACTCATTTGATAAAATATTAGTTGTTTGTTTATAATGTCAATTTTATTTACATTTGTTCAAATAATTATGGGAGAAATGTTATATTTAATTTGGTTTTTTATCGTTGAGAATTATTTGTTCTGGATGGTTCTAATTTTTTGATGGTTTTAGATTTTTATTATTTGCTTTTATTTTATATTAAATCATCACACTACAGATATTATTTTAATGTAAATACTATCCCTTGTACTCTTTTTTATTTAAATTTATGTTATTGCTCATTATTATTACTAAATGGTAAATTATTTAACAGTTGTAATAAATATTGCAATTAAAAAAAAATCCAGAAATCTATAATTATTGAGCAGGGACAAAGTTTTACTAAATGCTATCAAGTTAAATATATAATAGAGTTCTTATATTTGACAATATTATATAGAAAATTAAACAGTTCTTATATTTTAAATGTACTAAACCATATGAAGTCTAATTTTGATAGTGTAAATCCCATGCATAGATGCTTTTAATTCAGGAGAATTTTTATGTATAGAAAAAAGCTATTATTTATTTATTTATTTCTATTTTTTAAATATATAGCCCACAGATTTTTTCCAAGAAGACTTAAAAATACAATTACTAATTATTATAATAACATGTTTCAGCTAAAAATATTTAGTTCAAATAGTGGATTATAACAGAAACTTTTTACTCTAATTTACTAAAATATATAATCAGCCTCCATGTTTAGTTAATTTGCTTCAAATTTTATTTTAAGTCCTAGCAATAACATTAAAGACTGGAAAAAAGTTTGATTTGAATAACGCGTTAAAAAATAAATGAAGGATTTTTATTGTAAAAATCTGTCTCAATCTTTGAAAATCAGCTCATAGGATAATAAAATATTTCGTTTAGAAAAAAAATGATAAAAGATTATGATATCACAAATTTCAGTGAAAGAATGAGATGCTTAGGTTTATTTTACTATAAGTAATGATAAGTTGAAATTGGTTTGCTTTTATGATTAATTAACTATATCTATATAAATCTATTATAATATTTATTTTTGATAAGCAATTTGATGAGAAACTCGGCGAATTCGTGAAAAAATAACAGTGGCAAGTTTTTTCCTTATGAATTGTAATTGTTTGTCTCATATCATAAAAATATTAGTTTAATCCACATCAACATACCAAGATATAAATAAACAATACAGTCTATTTTCATTTACTCACAATCCAAATATAGTTCACACACTTTTCACATCTGTCAATCAACAATTAAAAAACGCTTTATTACCGACGTCCCACTTTTTCAGAATAAGAAAATTAATTTTATGCAAAATATTGTTCTATTCTGAATCATTATTACAACAATTTGTATGTGCTGTTGTATTAATACTGATCAAACAAACATTTTTCCACGTAAATATTAACGAGCGTGGTATTGAATGAGCCACAGTATTCAATACGTAATTAAGATGCAAAAGAATATGTTGGTGACTATGAATCAGTAGGTGGAAACATTTTTTATCTACAATTTCATACCATCATAACATATCTATTTGGTAAAATCAATTATGGAATTTGAGCAAAATTTGTCAGATGTTGGCTGTCTCTGGCGTATTGCAAAAATTGTTTTGATAATTTAATACAGCAATTAATTATTGCACTTAATTATCATTTAAGAGGTTTCAATTTGCCTTTTCAAAGTTTTTTTTTATAATTTTTTGTCAAGTTTTGGGTCAAACTTTGATAATATGTTATTTGGATGCAGGATTCGATCTCAGGGGATGTCCATTAATTACGTGATCGACATTTTGAGGGTTTTTGGACCCATCCTTCTAAATTAATTATTGCACTTAATTAGTATTTAAGAGGTTTCAATTTGTCCTCTCAAAGTTTTTAATAATTCTATGGCAATTTTTGGGTTAAACTTCAATAGGATGCTATTTGGATGCCCCTCAGGGGATGTCCCTGAATTACGTTATTGACTTTTTAAGGGTTTTTGGACCCACCCTCCTCCTTGGAGATACGTGGTGATATTCAAAATTACCTTCCCTCTCATCAATCAAATATATTTTATGTATTTTTTGTGATCAGAAAAAATTGTAACATTTTTCTTTTTTTTAAATGTTTGGATTTAAAAAAAAAATCTGTTAAATAATAAATATACGTGATATCTTACTGTACCCCTCCCTCCTCACGTGATATTTTGTGATTTTTTGTAAAACTCTCTCATCCCCCGAAAAACGTGATTAATTAACGCTCTTATATAATGTGAGTATCCTTTTGAAAAATGTGATGGTAAAATAAAGGCACATTATAGGGTTGGTAAATAAACAACATTTGCCACACTTTATATTAGGACACTAAATTTTCAGAAAAATTGACTTCGATTCAGAGCCCAATGAAATTAAAACAGTAAAGCTAATCAAAATTAATTACAATTTTTTCTAACTTGGTTCAGTTTTAACTCACCCTTTAGTAGAACTCCATGGCTTTTATTTGTTAATGGTTATATCTATTTTACTAATATAATATGTTATTCGTAATTTGATTAACTTCCATTAATCGAAAATGAAAATTGTTATATATCTGTACGTTTCAGAGGTTTCTGAATATTTTGGCATAACTTAGAAAAAATGGATGTATGTATGTGTGTGTGTATGTGTGTGCGGATACAAATTTTCGTCGACGATTTCGGAACACGGTTTAACTGATTTCAATTATTCAAAAAACATTCGATTCCTATAGATAAGGAGACGTGCTGATTAGTTTTTGGCACAGGCTGGTCTAGCCGTTTTGAAGATACGGGGCAATAAGTGCCATAAACGCTAACTATGTTTTTAAGAGAACGGAGCGTCTGATTTTAATAATTCAAAAACATTTTACTTGTATTGACAAGATGAAGAACTGATTAAGAAATGTTTGGGAAGGCAGGTCCAGCGATTATGGACTCTCAATAAAAATAAGTTAAAAAATGTCATTTTGCGGTCAAATATGTTTATTGGACATATGTACATCAAATTATCAGATAATTTATAGAGATTTTAATAATATGTACACATTTTGTGGACTTTTTTTGGGTTCCGTACCAAGATTTTTAATTACTGTACGGGAAGTTCTAGCAATTTGCCTTAAGACACGATGCCATACACCACTAGTTTAAATTTAAAAATATGTAATACCAAAAAATCCATATTCGAGCATCATTTATTCGATAATCAAATGTTGGTAACCTCAATTTCAAGGCACGTACCTATCGTTTTTGTACCACATGTACAAACAATACATATTTAAGAATACATTGTTATACTTTGGGAACAAAATTGGATAATCACATGTATTTTACTATGTGCCAATTTTTATGCAAAACTTTGCTTTTGTATATTCTTAAAATATCGGAAAAATCCAATCAAAAATTTCCGATAATCATGTATCTTTTGAAAATCTGCGTAGAATTTTAAATAGTTTACCAGATTTTTAAACATTCACAATAGATAGTCAAATTGCGTATATT